ATCATCATCATCATCATCATCATCATCATCATTATTATTGTTATTACTATTACTACTATTGCTACTACTTTGTACTTCTATAATTCTGTTATGATAATCATTGCTGCTAACACTGCTGCTATACTGGCATTTTTCACAGATCGTTATATCTCATCATCATCAGCGACAATCACATTTTCGTTATTATCGTTATTCCATGTGCAGAAGCATCCATTATTTAACGAATATTATTTAATTCCTTGCCATAATATATACTTTTACCTTACTCTCGTGCCCGAACGATATGCTGCATTTCTCGATTGAATACGACTCTCCTTTCGGGAATCCAGAAAACAGACAGATCTCGAGGACTTATTTGGCCGATATATTTTCGCCATAGTTTCGAGCGTGTCGCGTATTAGATGTTTGCTTTCTGGAGAAGAAGAGAAACATGACGGTTCGTGTGTACCTTACCATCGACAATACGCGATGAAATCGGTTAGCAAAACGATTGGGAAAAATTCTGTTGGCATGACGATGTCGCGAGTCGCGGTGCGGCGATTCAAACCGAGGAGAGAGAGAGAGAGAGAGAGAGAGAGAGAGAGAGAGAGAGAGAGATACGTGGACAAAGAGGGAAGGAGAAACAGTGAAAAGACCGCGTTTTACCGGGCACGGAGAGTGAAAGTCACAGAGAGTTTGTTCGTCAGTCGATTGAGAGTAGAAATATTATAGAAAGATATGTAGACCCGGGGTACCGGCTGCAAACGGTTAGGTTGCACGCGCATTTCTCCAAAACGCGCGAGCGTGAAACCTCTGCGACGTCCGTGTAATACAGATGCAAGCATACGTATCGCGCGTGTATTCGTCTACTACTATACTCTCACGAGACGAGAAGTGAAACGGGAGGAGATACGCCGGACTCTCTCGGCGTATTTCTCTCCGACATGCGAGAGCTCGCGCGCGACTATACGCACCATGAAATAAGTAGCGACCGGCACGCACCTTTCAAGAAAGCGTCTCGCGATGCTGCGACGGCATCTCCATCGCCGCTCTTACTGTCTTCCAACGTATCCTTATTGTGCGTCATCCATTCAGATGTGTGTGTATGTATATAGATAATATACAGGCGATTGTTTCGAAATTATGCCAACGTGATTATTGTGTCTAACATATTATTCGTGTAAAGTCTCGTACGTTATCATTGACTTAAATTTTGAACAATCCTGTATATAATTATATCTGTATACAATTTTATGTCGTTTATTTAAATCGTTTCACTCCTCCAAT